AATGAAGGTATATATACATACATATACATTAGATTGTTGTGTAATATTGTGTATTCACATGTCTGCACCCATATTATTTTTATAAAAAATTTTTTTTTTTTTCTTTTAAGAGATGGCATGTATGAATTGAGAATAGGCAGGTAGGAAGAAGTTTAAAATTTATAGTTTTTTGGACGAAAATTTTCTCATAGGTCTCGAAAGTATTTTTTGTTTTTCAATTCCATAATATTTAATATAATGTAATGATTTTTTATGAATGAAATTAATAACATAATAAAATACATACACACGTACACATGTTTATATATAATGACGGCAAAGAAAATTTGAAGAAATGCCATAATAAAGCTGTTGTATAAATTTGGAAATCATATTCACACATGTAAATTAAGGTTAAGTTGAAGTATAAATATTGAAAACTATAATATGTATATGTATGTATGCATGTACCTATGAACGTTAAAGCAATTTTATTAATTTTTTAAACGTCAAATTACAGTACTTCTTCCATTCCAGAATTGACATTAGTAGTTTGTAAATGAAACGTTTTCTCTGTCGGTATATGAGTAAAACACAACCTTTAATTTGTTTGGTATAATCATTTCTTTTAATATAGCTTTTTATTTTTATTTATCAAATGTCGGTTTAATAAAACAAGACATTTCAAATATTAGAATTATATGACAACATAACTCCAAAAACAAACAATCTATCTGTTGTAAATTAAATATACTATCTCCACTTATTGAAAAAAAATACGTAACAGCATCAGTTCATTTGCTTACGGTAACGTAGTTGTGCCCAATGAAACGCAAATAGTATATGTATGCCATCTTTGTTTTAAAAATTGAATATTTGACTTGTCAAAAAAAATTGCCAAAATTGAATATTATTATTTACATTCCTTGATGTTGTCAATTTTATTTTTTTTTTGTAAGAAACAATCAGCTCTTGTTAATAAAAGTTTTGAAAATCTTTCAGCTTATCTAAAGTGATCTGTCATTAAAGTGTGCACTCGAAAACCAATAATTTAACTATATTGTTAAAGTTAGGATTATGTCAAATTATTTGTAGAAACCGTATACCTATAATGAACGGAATTAAGCTTTTCACACACATTTTATCTGTCAACATTTAAATGGTGTTTACACAATTGTTTGCATACATAATTTTTTTTTTTTTTTTTGTAAAAACTTAGTTTTAACCGGCGCTGTATTCATTTAACAATTTAAAAAAAAAATTTTTTCTTAATGAATTTTTTTTTGGGAGTGGTAGATAGATACCAAATGATTGTAGTGGCGTCGATATGTATACTTTTTAGAAAGAAAAAAAAAATGTATTTTTTTTTTTATTTTCAATTGTTTAAAAAAGCGTTAAAGTTAATTTTTCAATCTTATTCTTTTCAAGTTTATCTTATCTTTAGATCTTTTTGTCAAAAATGATTTGAATGAAAATAGGTTTTTCTTTCAGTATTTAACTCTGCTATTTTGCTATTATTTACGTTCCTTTTCTCATTTTTTTCTTTATTTTGGATATTTTTAAATTCGTAATTTTTTCAAATAATTTGAATATCATTCAAACTAAAAAATTTAACTTTAAAAAATTAAATGAAGATGGTAGAATTTATGAATGGAATTTGGAAAAAAAAGCTTTTTTTCTTTCTCACAAAAACGATATTTAATTCGAAACTAGCGCCAAAACTTCAACTGTTGTAAATGTTTATGCCATATGTGATGACATCACAAAAAAATGAAATTAAAAATATTGTAAAAAATACAGAATTTTAACCTTCATTTTTTAACCAAGTCGTTTTAAGAAATCTTAATTATTAAAAATTAGTTTTTAAATTTTTATTAATTTATTAAGATCATTAATAATTGTAGAAATCATTGAACTCGTATTTGTATGTACATATACATAAAAGAAAATTTAAAACAATTAATTTACTTTTGGGGATAACACCAATAAAAATATGTTAAAAGAATTTAATAGAAGAATGTTGAATATGTCAAAAATATGTCAAATTTTTTTATAAATTATTTCTGTAATTGACACTATTGTCGGAAATAAGCAAAATGAGAGTTAAATTTTTAATAACAGATAATAAAAGAATATGTTTACGATGCTAACTGATTGCAATGCGATTGAGAACTAGTTCAACTTTTAGAACGGTGAAATTATTGATTACTTAAATAAAATAATCAATATGTTGAAAAAGTAATTAGTGATTATTTTTCCATTCTGACTCAATTCTAATTTCTGAAAAGAATTCACTAAAAAAAAAAGGTATTTAGTTTGTCAAGAAGAATTTAAATTTACCAATTGTTCCTTTATATTTACAAAATAGCACATTTTTTCATAATTTTTTAAATTCGAACTTAAATATTATACGTCATTTGTTAAAATAAAGATTAATATTATGACTGTGTGTGCGACTGTGTGTAAAGAATGTATGCCTGTAAATTTGAAAATGCAGTACAGAGCTGTCAGATTTAAAACTAATTTCGACCAAAAAAATTGTGATAAATTCTTAAATTCAATCAAAAAGTGGGTACCTATGTACTTGCAAAACTTAATAAAATTATTTAGAAAATTTCCAATTTGCTTTGCAACTCGTTACTGCTTATATTAAAAGCACTATTATTTACGTATTTGTATATTAAATGTACATAAATACGTATACTTGTATATATCAGTATAAATTTGTCACTGGTCAATCTAACTTATTTTTATATTTTGAAAAAGCAGAAAGAAAAGAAAAACAAAAGCAATTTAAATACCTATAATTTCCAGTTTTTCAAGTTTGCAAATATTTACGAATGTTTGCTCTAATATGAATGTGTATATACAAACTTACACTTATAATTATTTTATTGTTATAACTTATAGGTTATATAACATATAAATATATAAATTGTACTGATAAAAGATTCTACACATTATGATAAACGTAAATATACTTATAAGTAATTTAAGATTTTTGGGCTAATATGTACATATACATGTGTGTACAAAAATCTGATATGGTCAGAGCAAAATCGATCACTTTTTATGTTTTCTGAAAAATGTTTTAAATGTTTACAATTAGTTTACTCTTATAGATTTTATATGTATTTTCTTATATTAGAGAAAGGCGGCTTCGCATTTGTGGCCATTGTAACAGTGTTTAGGTTTTCGGCTTTCATTTTTAGCCGTAAAGCGAGATAATTTGTAAAATTTAATGCGGTTATTTTAATTTTGTACTAGAAATTAAAAAAGATTGATTTTCTTATAAAAATAAAAAACAATTATGTACAAAAAATTTTTCACTTTACGTCATTCGGTCTCTTTTATTTTGCATTTTCAAATTTGAGGCTAGCTATAAATATAATTTAGCTATATAATTTATATTAACCCATATTTCAAGTCTCAGGAAGGAGTTGTTACAGAATTACGTTCAATTATATGAAAATAAACAACTCATTTTAAGGTTTGTAATTTTTTTCATAGGCTATAAACCGAGATATTGGATAAATGTCAATGTCAAATAATAGTGTGAAAAGCGTAAAAATTGTATATACTAAGCCGAATAAATCTGCATTTCGCAGAATTATATGTATACATACCGAATTTGTTTCAGGGTATTTCCCTTAGCGGTCAGCATTTTTCGAGACAAGTTAAGACCGTAGTAAAGCGAGTTGTTGGTGTAACAAATTTCTCTAGCACATATTCACGACGCGTTGAACTTGATGGGATTACAATACTTCCTTTGTTATAATAAATGTGGTCAATAAAACCATGTTAGAGTATGTATATGCTAACAAAATGTTTTTCTTTTCTCTTCACCTATAAGTGGTAAGAGACAAAGCTAAAAAAGCCGTCAATACACGCTTACACATTTACTTACAAATATAAAATTAATTTACTTAATTTATGCAGAATTTAGTTTTGATTTAATGTATTCAACAATAAAAAAAAGGAGAAAAAAAAATTTCAATAAAATGTGATAAAAGAAAATTGCGCGATTCCATTATAAGTAAAATCTAAAAGGGGCTGTAAACTAATAGCAAATGACCAAACTGAAAACAAGTTGTCATTTTGCAAACGTCGTTTTATTGGACATGTTATGTTCGTATATATGTTAGCATATTGAAATAATAAAATTACATACCTATTAGTTATCAAATTCAACATTATTAGAAATAAAGTTTAATTTACGATTTCGTATTAAAAATTTTTACGATAAAATGTTTTTTTTTATTTTGTTGCAGTATAAATTCTAATGATAATATTTTAAGATCGTAAAGTAAATCCGTAATATAATTATTATATTTAATTTTTATGCAATAAATTTCGATATTTACAATTTTTACAATAATATGTAGAACATTTGCACTTACTTAAGTGAATAAAATTATTTTACTTAAGAACACTTCGCTTTCGTTTAATTTAAGGGAATGTTACACTCTTTAAACTAATATGGTTCAACTCTTTTATTCCACTATTAAACGAGAAGAACAGTTGTATGAGAAATATTTGTGCTCTAACATTCGAACCCCTATCTATTTTTTTAAAATGAGAATTAAATAAGCTTCATTCAATTTTTCTTTTTTATTGTTGCAAATCATAAGCAAAATTTAATATAGAGACGTTCATTAAGTGCTAAAAATTCTGTTAAAATTTCATAGAAAAAATTATATATAAAAACTTTAAACTTCGCAAAGTGCAATCTCGCTCTTGGTTCGAAACCAAAATTTTTATTTTAGAAACGCATGATAACACTTATTTAGTCGGTCAATGAAAAGACATTAGACATATCAAGGCACTGGGTTTAAAAGCGTACGGTTCGAATAATATACCGCTCTTATATCTTTATAATATTATTAATATATTGTGTATTAAATTTATTCGGTGTTTTAATTATCACAAAGTTTAAATGAATTGAAGAATAGCAATGTATTAATATTTCAAAATTAAGTCAAAAAACTTTATTATAATATTTTATTCTTTCTATATTTCAGAAACTCCACCACCTCCTTACCAATTGCACACAACAGAAAGACTGAAACCAGAAGGTTAGTAAATTATTAATTAAATACTTAATTAAGTGCATACTTTATAAAATTTAATTGTGTTATACCAATATTTATCGAAAATGACATTGACAGTTCGACAGTTGTTTCTTCTTAATAGTCTTAAAAATTAAATTGGAGGCGATATTTAGAAATTGTCTGATAAACGTCAAACATTTGGCATGTGTAACTAAATATACAAAATGTGCTACTATTACAAGCATTAAAATTATATTAATAAACTATTTGCCCCGAAAAGTATGCAATTTTCATAAATCTTTCAGTGTCTACACAAACTTTAAAAAACAAATTTACCGGCTATATTATAATGGCAAATATATTTTATTTCTTCTTATCACAAAATTTAATAGTAATTTAAAAGAAATCGTAATTTAGTTTCTTACGCAACATGTTTGTTATAAGGTTTTGTCTGCCTCAGGTTTGCATTGATTTTGAAATATTATGATTAAATTTTCTGATTTCTTATAATTTCCCAAAAATTTTTATAATTTCAAAATTGATACTGAATCAATAAAATAAATAAACAGACATGATTACTAACATATAAAAATTTTGGTTTTCAAGGTCTTTAAACTTCAAAAATACAAAAAAAAAATTAAATAATAACAAAAAAGCACCAAAGAATTGGCATAAATATTAAAATATTGAAATGTCTAGATTTTATTTTCTTTTATCTTTATTTTTTTTTCATTAATCTTCTTTTCTAATTTAAATTTTAATGGCAAAAATGTTTGTGAAAATCTTAAAAATTATCGGTTTTTTTCCATTACATTTGTATATATGTATGTGTATTTGTTGTACGTATACATGCGTAAAGAAGTGAACATGCTGAGAATTTGTATTTAATTTAATGACGCTTAAAATTATTTTATTGATATTACGGAACTCCCGTTGTTGGTCTTAATTTTAAAAAGTAAAATTTTTAAAATATTTTAGTAGTAATCCTAAAGAAGAACTTATTTTCAGCGGTAGCAAGTGTTTATCACCATGCAACGAGGCTTTTCGTTGCGTTTTTAGTTCTTGTATTCCGGAAATTCACAACATTTTGAATATATCAAAATATATTTTCTTATTCATTCAGAATACTCGGTGTCCTGTGCTTTTTAATTTGTATTCGAATATTTTAAACGTATTCTTTTTATTCCTATTTCAGAAGTAGAATACAGTGACATTTTGCAATGTCAAATTTCCTTTTTTTCTGATTATGTATTCAACTAGAATGTAAGTGTAAAAATGTTAACAATAATGTTTTTATGTCGCCATACATGCGTTTAATTAGATAAACGTTCTTAAAACTCATTGTTTTTGTAGTTTTTTAGGATCTACAATCTCGCTGCCAGTATATTTGCGGTCACCTTTGACATTTGTTTTGACCTAAAACTAATTTTAACTTAAGCTAATTTATGATATCCTATAGTGGTAGAATTTATTTGAAATTTGTGTTATTCTAAATAAATATGTATGTATGTGTGTTAGGTTTTTTCTTAAATATTAAGAAGTAATATAAGAAATTTGTCTTCAAACTTTAAATGTGTTTCATATATCTACAAGTATGATGCATGTACAACAAAACACAAAATATTTTTTGCAAATATAAAATTTATACGTACATAGATGAAAATAAGATAAAATATGTACATACATTGTGCAAGTTAAAATAAAACCAAAACATTAAAATATATTATAAAGATCAATAAGCTCTGGACACTCAGAGATCTCCAAAAATTATAAAAGGCAACTTAAATATATTTTTTGAGAGAAATTTAAAATACCGGTTATAAATAAAATTTTCTAAGTTTTATTTTTTTATGAAAAAATTTTAATTTAATAATATTTAATTCTGACAGTATAAGTGGCGTTTCGTAATGTCAAAAAAATATATGTACATACAAATAATATATGTATATATGTTTGTACTAAAAGCTTGTTAAATAATCTTAATATCGCTTAAATAAAGGTTAAATCTAAATATCGAACGAAGAAAAATTTTCAATAAAATTTATTAGAAAATGAGCTTTAAAAAAGCAGAGTCTAGACCGCCTGATTTTTCTCTTACGTCAAAGTATATTATGAGATACTTACAAATGTAGCAATATAAATATTCAATGTATATATATGTATGTGTGTGATTGCTTGTGAACCTGTGCCAACAGCAAAATATTATATATAATTATATAGTTACAGATAGTGTTTATACTGTTATACAGTCATATATACATAAGTATTAATTGTATAATGTGCGTATGTAAGTATGTATAAATGTATATAAATTTTCAACAGTTAAAATAGTAAACTTTCAGAAATATAAAGAACAAGAAAGAAAACTAAGAAAATAAAGTTTACATTTATAAATATGTGCATGCAAATAAATTTATATACGAATACGAACATGTGTGTATAATTATATGCATAAATACAAGTATGTATATACAACAACCCGAAATATTAAAAGCAAAAAGATTCTTACAAATATACATATGTACATATGTATATGATTTGTGTTTTTTTTTTTCAAAATATCCGATTATTTATTTATTTTGTAAACAGGTTTTGGCAAACGCGAAGAAAAGTGGCGCCTCGTCTTTATTAAAATTTAAATATGACAAGAAAAATTTTATTTACAGAATGAATATGAAAAAAATAAGAGAAAAAGAAAATATTAATCTATTTACTTTTATATAAGTACATACATATTATGTGTGCATGTTTGGACGTAAGTATGTACATTGTGCAAACATTATATAAAATTTTATTCCAAAACGCAGGCATTTGTATACAAGAAACTTTTATAGAATGGTCAGAAGCTGCAAATATACAAATATTAATATGTACTATACATACAAACCTACGTAAAGATTATTAATACAGAAACATACATATGTACTTATAAAATCACATAAATTATTGATTCCCTATTAATCATTTTTGAAGTATGTATATTTAAATTAATTAATGTTATTTGCATGTTTTTCCAAAAATTAAAATATAAATTTTTTTTATGATCATTTACTTTAATTCCGTCACATTGAATAGTTTTAATGTTAGTGTAATTATTGCAATAAAAGAGTGCGGGTGATGATTTAGAATAACTGTTATTTGCTATGACATATATACATATAATTTGACATTTTTTATTGCTCTTTTTTTTTTAATTTTAAGGTTTCTTAGTTTTCATTAGTCATTATAGTTGTTATGTCAAAAGCATAAAAAAATTGAAACTACTTAAGTATTACCTCAGTAATTTGTGACTCTTAATAAAGGATGAAACATTTTAGGTATTGTGTAGGTATTGTTAAAAATTATACACGAAAATTATAAAATTTCGTGCCTCATAATCTTTCGATTAAATTTTTTGAAAAGAAAGAGATTTTTGTCTCATAATAACAACGAATCTTCCTAACGCGATACTTATCCTAGACCCTCGAATTTGATTCACTTTATTGAGTATTGCAGGTACATAGTTGGAAGTTATATTTATAAAACCAATAATGTTAACTTTCAAAACTCCACATATTTCTGGTTTAATCCTGAAAAGAATTGGGAAAGTTCAAATGACACAATTTCAGACACAAATTGACAGGATCTAAATTTTATTTCGATATGTCGGTGATTTCTGTTATTGTATAACAGTTTGTGGTATGCCATACTTTAATAGTGAAACCATATCCTTATGTCGGAATCAATGTCAGGTTTTCAAACAAATGATCATTGTTCATTGATTTCCATGACAAATGTTAAGCTTACTTTTAGTAAAATTTGTTGATGCGAAATGGATAAATTTTTTACATTACAAATTTTATTTACATTATCAAATACCAAATACATAATTTCATATTTGGTAAAATTTGAAAATACAACAAAAAAAAAAATTGCTGACAAATTTAACATTATGTATAGATATTCAAGTCGGCATACTATTCGACAATTGAAATTTACCACGCTTCTGTAAACACGTATTTTTTTGTAAATTGAATGCCAAATTTTGTGCAATACTGAATTCTAAATTTTCGAAAACGGTGATTATTTTTTTATTCCATGTGATTATTTCCATTTTAAAAGACATTATTTATTACAAATACCTACACAACCATATGCGTACATACATATGTACATGTGCAATAAAACATGTTCCAATATAATAAATACTTTACATTTGTGTTTTTCATTTATATTTATTAAATTTTTTGAAATGGCACCAATAATTGTTTATAAATGCAATCATTCGAAATTAATAACTTGTCATTCATTTTAATTAAAATCTTTGAATTATACTTAATTAATAGTTTTTACTAAATGAATTAATTCAGTAAAACAAATTAGCAAAATAATTTTTAATTTCATAATAAAGTTCACAATAACGCCTTTAATTTTATGCTAGACTACATTTATTTAAACATTTCATTTTATTAAAAAATTACAAAATGCGGTTCGAAATTAATAATAGGATATTATAGTATAGGACAGATCCGGAATTTTTACAAATAGGATTCTGTTATATTCAAAGTTTTTACTTGTTTCAAATATATACTAAAGGTGGTTGTACAAATTAACATTTGAATAGGAAATTAAAGAGTTGAAAATGTTTTACGGTAAATTGTTATTATTTTTTTTAAGTGTTATATTATCATACAGTTATTTACAGGATTGAAACTGCAAAATACACGAAAATTTAATAATAAACTTTCACATTATATAAGAGATATTGTACTTACAACAAGCTTTCACATCAAATGTCAATTTGATTAAATTAGAAATTGGACGCTTACTAGAATTTATACATATTTTACAAATGAACACATGTATAACACATTTAATATTTAGAATAAACGTGTATAAAATCACCATTTATTCTACCAGTTTTTGATTCTTTTATTTCAATTTTTTTAAAAAAATGAAAGAACTAGAAAATTTTATTTCATAAAAACGACAAAGCACAGGTTCGTATTATGACAAAATGGATTATAAATAAACCTATATATGAA